CACGATGGGAACCAAAGTTGTCTCCTTCACTGGGAGCAATTACTCCATGAGTGGAACCACGATTGCCCTCTCAAGCCATAGCAACTCCCCCAGAGCCAGCAGGACCTGGTGGAGGCAGGCTTGAAATAATGATGGACCAGAGCACAGCTGGACCAAGACCACGTGACCCTGTTCTTCTTCTCCCCGCTCACTTCTGTCTTTCCTATGTAACTGTGAAGCTCCTGTCAGGACCTGCGAGGCAGGGTCAGGGGGACCGTCCTCCTGTTCCTTCCTAGACTGGCCACACCGAATGAACTGCCACTTCACTGCAGCCTCCACTTGGTCTTCGGAGCCAGGGTCGGGTCTCGTTCCTAGCGAGGTCTCTGATGCCACTCTGAGCTGGCATCCAACCCAGACTGTTCTCATTAAGGACAGTGGCTGCTCTGTCCCCTGGGCCTGCAGCTGTCATTTCTCTGCACCCCACTAATCTTCCAGTTTAAGCCTTGCGGTTATAAGCCAGCCTCTGATTCTAGCACCCGGATGTATCCTAACATATTTTACCTAAGAGAAAAGGAAGCAAAACTTAAATACAGAAAAAAGCTCTATGTATACAATGTAGCATTATCTTGTAACAGAATGTGGAAATAAACTACAGGCCCCAGACATGAGTACATAGGTAAATGATACAGCTACTTGATAAAATGGTGCTAATCACTAATAAAATATATTTATTACAGAACATGCAAAATAGGAACACTTAAAACACAACATTATCTTATAAATATACTATTTCTAAAACAGATGTCTACAAGTTCCACAATAGTAAGCACAGGGTATTTTACTTAATTTTTAAGTTACAAAATTGGTAATCCTGCCGCCAGGCCCAAGTCTCCACACACACTCCAACACGCAGTGTGGACACATGGTCTTTCTGTCCTCCCACCTTTAATGGGTCATGGTCCACGCACTCTGCTTATTCTGGTTCGATTTCTCACTTCAGCAGACTCCCAAAACAACTTCTTCTACTCATTTTCCAGACCGCTTTTGTAGGGTTAGGGCCACAGGCTGACACAGGTCATGTTCCATGGGTACGTCCCGCAGTCATTAGTGATTTCCACCAGGTGACCCTTTCATCTAACTCCTATTTATATTTTCGCTCCAGGTCCCGGTCCAGACAGGGGCTAGAACACCGGCAATGCCCAGTAATGGTGCTGCCAGAGAAGAGAATGAATGAGCTTTGTGAAGACCAACAGCCAAGTTAGCTTTGCAGGCAGACATCCACTGGCGGGGGACTGGACATCTCTCCAGACAGTGGATTACAGAAACATGGGGTACAGAGACAGATACCTAAACACATAGAAAATGGGCTAAGGAGTTTCATGGGCTTACCTCAGGGAATATGACCCAGAAAAGGAGGAAAAAGTAGGAAAAGAAAAGCCAAGAGAAAATACAACAGTCAATAACATAAATAAAAGAACTTACATCGTCACTACCTGCTTCCGATTAACTGTGGCAGGGATTCTGTGCTTTTAATTTTTAAAAAAACTTCCATATATAACATGTTTTGAGCACCATCCCTCTTCCTGCATGAAAAATAATTCAACCACAAAAGTAGTCCAGCAGTATTACTGACCACTTTATGCGCTACAGGTGCCAGCGACTAATTTCAGGATTTAGCTACAATGCTTCAAATTTCCAGTTACGTTTTGAAAACATCAACTCTTTTGAGATATATTAACTTCATAGTTACAAAGCATCGCTATGTAATCCATTCACGTGATTGCTGTGCTTCTCAAAGGTCCATCTATGCTGACTTCGAACAGAAGGAAGAGTCTGACTCCTGCGTGTTAATGGTGGCAGCCAGCTTAAGCCCACATGGTGGCAGAGCTGGTCTGCAACACCCTGTCCTCACCCGATCCACAGGACAGCCATGTGCGTCAGCACAGGCTGAGCCTCGGAAGCTTGGACTGGAGCTGTTTCCAATTTGAGGCATTTTTCAATTTGGGAACATCTTCATATACATAATGAGGTTATTTTGAGGAAAGGACTTAAGTCTAAACATGCAATTCATTTGTGTATTTTACACATCATCCAAAAGTAATTCTGCACAATACTTTTAGCATACCTGCATTTTGGCTGCAACCTAGCACATGAGATCGGGTGGAAGTTCCTGTTAGTGGCATTATTTTACTGGTTAAAACCTCAAGTTTTTAGAGCATTTCATATTTTGACTTTGTGGAGTAGGCATGCTCGACCTGTAATTTCAATCCTCATTTCATGGAGAAGGAAACTGACACCGAGGTCTGCCACACACCAACCTGCACAGTACAGGCTGCGAGTATTGGCTGTCTCGAGAGCTGCATCTCCAGGAAAGCTGGAGGCAGACCCAACAGTGCTAGGTGGCATACTCTTTGTGCAAGGTCAGCCAGGCTGATCTGCAGCCACACACCGGAATGCTGCTAAAATCACAATGGATGTGCTTAGACAACACTACGTAACAGTCAACGTGCCGAGAAGCAAGAGTGTCCCTCAGCCGGAGTCATTGAGAATTCTTAGTCTGGGCTTTCACAATTGGCTCCCTCTGTCAGACTCAGACAAGGCTCTATTTTGAATTCTAATGAGGATCAGGCACACTGAATATTTAAACTGCAATTACAAAGATCCCACTTTTATGTAAATGTCCTTAATACAAGAAACAGATTTGAAAATACATCAAGGTAGCAGGGGGAACATATCAGTCTAATTTGCCTTTGGAATCTAGAAAAAAAAACCCTCAATATTGTTTTCTCCTGGATGCTATCATGGGATGAACTGGGAGAAGAAAAGAAGAGGAAAAACAAACACAGCGATCTCAGCACAAATTTTAAAGCCCGGACTCCAGAGTGAAAGGTCCACAAAGAGGTGCTTGAATCCTTTGTCAGCAACCGAACAAACAAATTCATCACTGGGCCCTTCTCCTGTGTGGCCCGCTTGCAATCTGTCTGTATTTATAACGAGAAATTCCCTCACGACTCAAGCATCTATGACGGGTACGTCAGACCAGCCAGGAAGGTCTCTGCAGGCCCGAGAAACAAAAGGCCATTTCATGCTTCCCAGCTGATTCTTTCGCACGCCTCTGAGGAGAAGGGCGATGTGCTGCCAGCTCTCCACACCTCCTGGGTCCTCACGGTCACCCATCCAGGGCCGTGAGCAACCAGTAATCAAGTCACACGTGAGGGTTAGCTCTCTCCCACCACTGGGGCAAACACACCTTGCCCATATCCACGTATAGATGTGTATCTGTTTGCATATAAAATAACTCAATCTCGTCTTTGAGAAAAGCAGGTGATTAACTCTTTGTTATACTTTGAGGCTCTTGGGTCAACCCTGGCCCCCCAAATGCCTCTTATACTAAGATCATAATTTAACTTCCACAGCATCCTAGATGACATCCCCTGAATGTCAGCATATATGCAAAGAAAATAATAATTGACTGTTTCTGATTTTTCTTCTGATTAATTCTTCCTTTTGCCAGTTCCAAGTATCTAAACCATTTTGAATTTCAAGGATTTAAAACATGATTTTTTTAAAAACTTTCACAGTGCTTGGAATCAAACCTGGCTCTTATAATTACCCTCTGCCCCAAGTTTCAGTTATTTTTATTTTCTAGTATTTTTATCTGGCCTTCTTTAAAACTTTTTATGTTGTATTTTATAGTATCCTGTTCTATTAAGATACTTTTAAACTTGTCGTAGTTCTTTTTGTTTATTTGTTTTGGTACCGGGGATCAAACTCACAGCCTCATGCTTATCAGGCAGGTGTTTATACCGCTGAGCCAAATTCCGGGCCCTTGGCATGTTTTTAATTGAAAGAATAGCACTGATTTTATAACAGTCATATCTGACAATTCTGTTTTTTGCTTTTATTTTGAGTTTTTTGAGACAGAGTCTTCCTATGTAGTTCAGACTGGCCTTGACCTCACTATGTAGCCTAGGCTAGTCTTAAACTCACAGTGATCTTCCTGCCTCGGCCTCCTGAGTGCTCGGACTGTAGGAATGCAGGCCCCGCTTTCATGTCTGATAATTCGAATAACGCAAGTCTGCACAGACTGTTTCCATGATCTGCTGCCAGCTCTTGCTCATACTGTGCACAAGCTTATCTTTAACTGGGTGCTGATCACTGCCCATGGAAGTGAAACCGGTTGGTCCCTAAGACCTAGGACAAACCCACTTTCGTCACTTTTGGCTTTCCGTTTGCTTCTGACAGATAACCAGAACTGAAACAAGTGAGTCTGTCTCAAGCCAAATTCTAGGCTTGAGGTTCGCTAGGTTATATACACGTATGTGCAGATTGCAAATGCACGTGCAGAGCTGTGACCCCCGCTTACCAGGAGCTGTGCTATTACTGCCTTTCTTTTTCCTCTTTTGGGTCCCAGTTTACCGTGGGAGGGTCTCCTGTTATACCTCGTAGTTGCAGTGAACTGAGAGCTTACTTGCCTGCTCTTCCTAGATTGCAGAAGACCCTGACTTTTGCCTGTGAGTAGGCTCACTATACTGAACTTTTCTGGATATAAATACTAAATATTAGGTGTTAAAAAATCACCAACAGCATAAGAAGCATCCTGCATTCATTATGACCTCACACATGACAGGTACTCAGGACCACCATGTTGTAAATACAAAAGCATACCAATGTGTTTATGAATATATTCATTTCATATGACACGCAACAGGACTGATTAGAACATAAGCCAACCGGGAAAGCTGAATTGTGAAGACTCTTCCTACTTGATGTATAATGGGTAACAGCTAGAACTTGCTCAGTGTAAATAATGCACCAAACGCTACATGCAGAACATGATATATGTATGTATATACGTCTGCATATGCACATTTTAGCAATTTCAGTGCTGCACCAAATGATAATGCTTGCATTAGAAGGGCAACAAAATTCCTGTGGTAATTAGACAAACACAGAAACTTAAAGTGGAGTAAATCCCCAAGAGAACAGAACAGCAGAGCCATGAGACTCCCGCGCCTTACCACATGACGTAGACTTTCTGTCCACCAAGGTCACACGCCTCGTTTCGGTGCGAAGCTTTTCATCTGTGTTCTCCACGAGATTGGCGAGGTCATCAATGATCTCTGGAAAGGAAAGAGAAGACGTATGATCAATATTCTCCAAGTGTGCCAGCTTGCCCCACATTCCACAGCTGTGAGGGCTTTTCCTGGTAACAGGTGCATTGACTGAAAAGGCAAAGAATTCGTGGATAGTCTCTGAAACCTAGAAAGCATGACCTTAAAAGGCAAAATCAAAACCAAACATTAGTAAAGAAAAAAAAAAAAACTGGCTGGACACCATTCTAAGACACAGAAATGTCAGCAAGTCAGAAAAAGAAAGCACAGCCCAACGAACTTATGCACAGCCACGTTGTCATTCAAGAATAAGATGACGGATAGACAGTACAAAAGACCCCAGCATTGCTTGAGAAACCCTGATGATAAAACTAGCCAACCAAGAGATAAATAAAACTAAGAACTCTAACGAAGAAGCCAGAGACCATGACCTCAGAGAGGATGGTTTAGAACTGAATCCACTGAACTGGGACTAAGCACATTTATGCATGGCACTAAGATACACAAATGTTACAAAGCACACTGCAACTGAAAAATTAGGGAGCGATTGGAGGAAGAAGGAAAGTAGGGAGCACTAGCTTCTCCACCCCTCGCAGAGAGATGCAGCAAGCTCTGGAAAAGGTACACACAGCTTTTAAAATCATCAAAAATTCAACGTTTTATGTCATTTTGATGAACCTTTAGTAATTACCATTTTTCAGTAATGACTCCCTCATAAAGATCTTTTTGTGAAGTTCATCTTTTTTATACACTCTTTTAAGTGAAATTAACACGTTTAAATTTAAGTGACAACACTTAAAACAGCATATATATTGCCTTAATTATGTGAAATTCTTTCTCTCTACTCTTTTATATTTATGTAACTACAGAGATATATGTGGAAAATGGTAATCTAATGTTATGGATTATTATTCCCTGGTGATGAGATCTTTGAAACTATGAGCCAAAGTGAATCTTCCCTCCCTATGAACTGCTTATTTTATACTTTGTCACAGAAGCAGAAACACTACTTATTAATACCTTATACATTAAGGGTACTGTCTGTTACATACTTGTTTCTGGAACAAAATATCTAACATTCACAAGTCGAAGGAGGAAAGGTTTACTTTAGCTCACAATTTGTAGCGTTTTCAGTCCACAGCTGGCTGGCAGGGCAGCCTGGCAGAGAGGCAGGGCACAGGAGCAGTCCAAGGCATGGCAGGCAGGAGCAGCGGGTCCATCTGTCCTTCCCTGTTTATTCCATCCAGGCTGTAAGTCTACTTACTGATGTCACTCAAAACCAGGGAAAGTCTGCCTTCCTCATTAAATCCAGCATCCATACCCAGAACTATGACAAACCAACCAGTGTTCTAATCTGATATCACACACCCATGGTCCAGCATCAAACACCCATGGTCCAGTATCACACATCCAAGGTCTAGTATCACACACCCACAGTCCAGCATCACACACCCACGGTCCAGTACCACACACCCAAGGTCTAGTATCACATACCCATGGTCCAGTATCACATCCAAAGTCCAGTATCACACACCCATGGTCCAGCATCACACACCCACAGTCCAGCATCATGCACCCAAGACCCAGCATTACACAAACATGGTCCAGCATCACACACCCATGGTCCAGTATTACACATCCATGGCCCAAGTATCACACACACATGGTCCAGCATCACACATCTGCGGTCTAGCACACCTGCAGTCTAGCATCCCAGAACCACGGTACAGAATCGCACATCCATGTCCAGCATCACACACCCACAGTCAAGCATCATACAGCCATGGTCCACAATCACACACCCAAGACCCAGCATCACACAACATGGTCCAGCATCACACACCCATGGTCCAGTCACTCCAAAAAGCCCCACGTATGACCACATGAGACTTTGGAAGACATCTAGATATAAACCGTAAGAAGAAAAAAGGGCAAGAAGATTTGAAAAGATTGGGCTGGGGATTTAGCTCAGCGGCATAAGCACCTGCCTTGTAAGCAGGCAGTTGTGAGTTCGATCCCTGGTACTGATAAAAACGAAAAAGATAAAAAAAAAAAAAAAAAAAAAAGATTTGAAAAGATTTGCAGATGACATGATTGTGTACATAGAAAATTATGAAATCTATTTAAAAACTATTAGAGTAAGAGAATTTAACAAATTTGATATAAAATCAATGTGTGAAAGTCAATTAATTCCTAAACATTAATAATTGAAAAGTGAAAATAAAAAGCAGCTAAGTGTAACAGTATAAAAAATGTATTAAATAATTAGGTGGACCGATGACAGAGCTCAGTGGCACAGTACCTGCTTGGCAAGTGTAAGGTCCTGAGTTTGACTGGCAGTACCAAGAGAAATAAATAGGTGTGCAAAACCTTTAACAATATAAACTATAAAACATTGCTGGGAAAAGTTAAGACCTAAATAACTGAAGAGCTAGATGGTATTTATGGGTTACAAGACTCCACAGACACCTGTTCACTTTTCTCAAGAAGTATATAAAGGGGTTGGAGATGTAGCTCAGCAGTACAGGGCCCACCTGGCAAGGGCAAGGCTGTGATTTTGATTCCTGGCACCAACAAAAAGTATTCAGATTAAAAGCAATATCAATAAAAATATGGGCAGGGATTTGGAATGAAACTAGCCAATCAGCTCTAAAATTCATATAGAAACAACAATTTTAAATAGCCAGAATAATCTTGAGGAAAAACAAAACTAGACATACTAAAATATCAAAATCATTATAATTCATTATAATAATTCAAATTATTATAAATCTATAATAATTTGAAAAGCACAGTGTTAGGATAGGACAAACCAATCAATGACAAAACAGGAAGTCCAGAGATAGAGCTTATCTGCGTGAGGGCACAGGTACGCAGTTCTCAATACAGTTATCAGCCACAGAGTCAATCACATGGGGAAAGAAGGGCCTTTTCATAAGCGATTCTGGAAAACTGGAGACCTGGACGTAGCGGGTAGAGAAAACTGCTATTCCCTTTATAGAGCTCTAACCGTCAATCTCAGGACTATTAAGCTTTTGGGGGAAAAACAGGAAAGAAAAACAGAAGAAAATCTTTATGACTGTGGGTGGGCAAAAATGTCCCTGTAAAGAAAGTTAAGGCTAGGGCTGGGGATTTAGCTCAGTGGCACAGCACCTGCCTGGCAAGCGTGAGGTCCTGAGTTCGATTCCCAGGACTGAAATAAATAAATCAATAAAATAAAATAAAGTAAGCTATACACAAAAGAAAAGAAATGGATCAGATATTATCAAAATAAAACTTGTGCTCATCCAAAGATGCCATTAGGAAACTAATAAACAAGCCACAGTCTGAAAATTAATATATACAGGTCATATACTTGATGAAGTTATTTATGCATCTAGAACATAACAAGAATCTCTACTCCATAAATCAATAAACCTCAGTAAAAGATAAACACACTTTATTTGACTTTGCATCATTTTACTTTACTTTTGGTCCCGGGAATTGAACCCACTCAACTGTGTGTGTCTCGCGTGCTTGGCAGGCAAGTACTGTGTGGCTGAGCTCTATCCCACCCAAACCCACTTTAAAATAGGCAAAACAATCTGAATAGACGTTTTACAACAGAGGATATACCAGTGGCTAATATACTCATAAAAGGAGCTCCACATCATTAATCATCATGGAAAATAAAAACTTAAACCTCTGTGTAATATTTCTTCACATGCGCTAGATGCTAAACTTAAAGCCTCAAAGTGCCAGCTGTTGGTGAGGATGTGGATGCCGTGCGAGTCTTAACTGGCTCTAATCACATTAACCACACACCTAGTTTCCTAGAACCTTCACTGCTAGGCATTTACCAATCAGGCGACCTTACTGTGATGTTCCCGAGAGTTTCTAGTGAGCGGGAAGGAAGAGGGGAGGCAAGGAGCAGGCAAACGGGGAACAAAGGCTTTGGAATAATAAGCTTTCTGACTGGCAAGCAGTCAGGTAGCCAAGCGTAGCTCCTTCCCTTTGTGTAATTAGTACCCATCATGGCACTGGGAACATGGAAACTTGCGCGAAAATCAATTTTGTAGCTAAAGCCCAGGGTGACTCTAATTATGATTACATTCTTTATAATAATTTGAAAATCTGTTTCCTTTTATCAGTGCGGTACCAATGTTTTGTCTTTTTTTTCCCCTCATATATCACCTTTATTTTCTGTATTTTAGTTTTTGGTACAGGGGATTGAACTCACAACCTTGTGCTTACCAGGGAAGCACTTAAGCCACTGAACTAAATCTCCAGCTCATCACCTCTATCTTTTCCTGTAGGCTAAGGACAGTGCATTCTCTCCCTCTCCCTCCCCGCTCTCCTTTCTCCCTCCTCTCTCTCTCCCCTACACACACACACACACACACACACACACACACACACACACACGCACACACGCACACTTTTTGAGACAGGATCTCACTATGCAGTTCAGGCTATCTTGAACTCATTTTATAGCCCAGACAGGCCTCAAACTCACAACAATCCTCCTGCCTCAGCCTCCCGAGAGCTGAGATCACAGGTGTGCACCACACACCTGGTCAACAACTCTATATATTAGCAGGTCCTCTACGGAAGTGGTTTCTAGATCTTGTGACATCCTAATATTTTGGACACATATTTTTCCTAAAAAGTGATGGGAGGGCTTGGATGCATCATTTCAGTTCTTGTCTGGTTAGCTTGTTAAACTGAATTTTGGTAGTATTTAAAAGTTAAGTATTTTTATGATCCATGCCTCACACCCTGAGGATATTCCACACTAATATGCGTACATTTTGCCATGAACTGATTTTAGTTAGGAATTCAAGACATGCTCTAATAGTACAATGTATTATACAAAATTCAGGCTTAGAGACAATATGGTAACTACTTTTAGGTCAGGATTATCTGGTGGTGAAACACTATTCTGCTTAAATGGTTATGTTTTGATCTGTGCTGTTTCGTTGTTATGCCCTCTTTTATCTCAATCTCCACTCCATTATTTACTTTTTTAA